GACAGATTCAGGCGGGACAAATATATACATATGGGAAGTTAGGGAAATCTTCTTATACGTATCGCCATTTTCACGCGTCATCAACAAAAGTCACCGCCCATTCTTGGTTATCTTTCCATATCGGAATCGATGCCCCAAGAGAGAAGGGGTAAAACCCAAGAACAAATGATATTTGTGAGATATCAAAAAACCCGGTGGAATCTTCACTTTTTCATCAAAGTGACAATATCAGTTGAGGCTGAGCTAACACAGCGAATATGGCAGCAGAAAATATACAATGTCATCCGTCTTGGAGGCCTTTGCCTAACACTCTTTGGGTTCTGAATGTTATCAGTTGAAACTCAGTTTCTCATGGCTGAGCTGTCCAATCGTTTCGGGGCTCGTACTGGTCTCACCGTCTCACATCTTGGCTTAGGATTGGCGACGCAGTGTTGCGAAGGTGGGCAGACCAAGGCATCACAAGCTGAAAGAGTGAAAATTGAGATCTTCCTTGTTGGGTATCTCTTCTGCTTACTTCCAGGTTTGGCACAAGATGGTATCTTTTTGCAGATTTTGTTTATGCAAGGCTCCACTCTTTCCACACATACTTCATTCGCTGGGCATTTGTGTCGTGCACAACCTTAATCAGTTGTATTCAAAAACAAAGTTTGAAAATAAGTTAAAGCAGATAGTTACCATTTTCTTCATTGGGTAGGCAGAACAGGATCGGGCGGCAAGGTGGGTTTTTACAAGGGAATACTCGTTCCTGGCAAAATTTGCCAGGTGGACAGTATGAATCGACGCATGCTAAAAGAAACCATTGCACATTCGCACAGAACTTGTTCAATGCAATTTGTTCGAAAAACTCAAGAACCTATATGAATTTCAAAATTCATCCAAGATCTTGCAGGTAACTTCGCTTCCTATAAATTTCTTATGGTTTGTAAATAAGTTCGCTTTTCAAAAATCTGGACTTTTAACTTCCAAATTATGTATCATACTTTCGCTATGACAGCAAGATCTAGCACTTTCCAAACATCATTTGAATGCTTTTGAAGAACGCTTTCTATTAACCGTCAAATAAATCCCATTTTTTTCACGATTTTTGATGTTCGGCACAGTAACTCCCCTGACGCGACTATTCTTTTTTTTTGCCTTTCCCGCGCCGTGAAGTTTCGCTTTTTGATTTCCTAATAACGGGGCGAAGCTCTCCAATGATCACAGCAAGATCTATGGCCCGTAGTAAAGCTCGGTGAAGGGAGATGACCTC